CACCTAGCATAGTATATAAATATGAATAATTTTAATTTAAACAAAAGATCTGGTATATTAATACAAATAATGGATTACTAGTACCCATATACAAAATATTATCTTCATGTTCTAGGTGTGAAAAAGATGATTTCAAAAAGACTCAAGATCAAGATGCATACTTAAATTGTAAATTTCTATATAAATCTAGTAATATCCAAAGTCCTGTTACAGCTCCAATAGCATTACCACAAAATCCAGATATAGTTCAGATTCTAGTACAAATTCATGTTCTAATAGGTAATTTAATTTTATTAGCAGAGCAAGCACCTTTGATGCTAGACAATACACCCTTATCTCCTATTTAAAATATATCTTTAAGACATGAAGAGTTATTGCTTTGTAATATTAATCTTCCTCAAAATAATACAGAATGGTTTGATAATATGAAAGATAAATATAATATAAATGCTAATGAAAATAGCTCGAATTAGCTAGAATCTTGCTCTATAACTATCCAAAAAGAAATATCATAAAGATATAAGTTAATTTTGATGATAAACCAATAAAAAAAAACTATAGACTAATGAACAAAGAGTTAATATTTGAAGAATATAAATCTAATTCAGATCCTTTAAGATCCCATCAGAACTTAACAATGATGAGTTTATAGCAAGCAATTATTCTATCTTCCAAAAATATAAAATATAGATTCAATTGTTATATCGAGAACCCTAATAAATATTTAGAAGCCCCATATATGACCTAGCTTATAGCAAATACAAAAGAACAAATTACAAGAGTTCTTAAAGCCAAATTATATCAAAAAAGATCAAATAAAAACTGTATTAATTGCTTAATGTATATATTCTGGGCATATTAGCAAAGAAAAAGGCAAACTTAAAAGTCTATTAACTATAATTGCTTATCATAGAAGTCTTATACATGTTATTCTTGCAGAAGAATATATCAATGAACATATAAATTTATCTATATTAGAAATAGATAATGCTATAGATTCATTTATGCAAGAAGAATCAGGAATGAATTTGGTAAGGATTGAAATATTAACTATTGAAGCTTAT